CGCTTGGGGCCTCAAGCCTGATGTCGAACCAACTGACCCCGGCGCAGGTCCGTGCCACGCAGCGCTTCCTCGCGCACGACCGCGAGGTCCTGCGCTGTGACTGCAGCTGGGATGACTCGGCCAGCGTCCATGGCTACCGGCACTTCATGACGCTCTACTACTTCCTCGCCGACGGCAGCCTCGCCGTGACGGAGAAGAACACGCCCAACAGCGGGCGCGAGCCCTTCCCCGTCTTTGTCAACCGACAACGGGTGGAGCGGCCGACGGGGACGACCGGCCGCTTCGACTCCCACGCACTCGTCTCCTTCGACGCGAAGGCGGAGGCGCGCGCGGGGTACTACACCGATCAGGATATTCGCATCGGCAACGTCCTCAACATCTACGGACGACCCCTCCGCATCCACGACTACGACGCCTATACCCGCGCGCACCTTGCTAGGGTTTATGACATCATCGAGTACGCCCCCATCCCAGGCGCGACGCCGCCGCCGTTTATTCCCCCGGGTACCCGCCGTCGTGAGGTCAACAATAAGGAGGAGAGCCCCACCAAATCCCACCACAACAGCTCTATAGAACTCCGGCGCCATCGATTGGATACCATCTCGGTGAAATTTTTGGTTGTGCTCGATAATGGCACGTACGAGGACTCGATCCGGCGCTTTGTACTTACGGTTTACCCCGCTGACGACACCGTCGCGATCTTTGAGCCCGTCGTTCGTAATAGCGGCATCGTTGGTGGCAAGTTTCTTTCGCGACAAAAGGTCAAACGCCCCGGGAGCGAGGAGTTCTATATTTGTAATGACTTTTTCATCGGAGCACGCTTAAGTATCAACTCGTTTCCGTTTCTGGTGCTAAAATCAGATGAACGCTCGTTGCAGTATATGGAGAATAACGGGGAGGAGTTCTCGCACTCGGATATTAACCAAATTGTACGCAAGATGCGGGCAATGCTGCTGAGCAAACAGAGCGGCCTCGCAGAAGCCTTCCGCTCCGCCGATGATGTTCACAAGGGCGGCTTGGATATGGCAGTATTCTTGTCAATCATGACAAATCTCAAGTTAGATATGTCGGAACAGGAAATTTTGACAATTCTTCGTTTCTTTGATAAAAATAACGAATCCTACGTCTCTTACGAGGAGGTGGCGTCGCGCATTCTTCCGGAGGGAAGCGTTTTAGGCGGCGATGATCGCCCCTGGAAGGTGATCCACGACGAAAGTCTGAAGGAGGAGACCGCCGCCTTTGTGTGCGATCCGAAGGCCGAGGCGGAAAAACAACAGCTGGTGAATGAAACCCTCCTCGCCTCGCGCGCCGCAGATAAGATTAAGGAGCTTTATGACCAACGCCGCCAACTTTTCATGAAGGAGCTACATGCAATCACAGATTACGCCAAAGACGGTTTGATCGGCGTCGACGAGTTCAAGATGTGCATCCTGCAGAAACTCCACATCACCTCTTTGACTAGTCAGGAGCTCAACGCACTGGTAGCAAAGCTTTTTACCAAAAAATATCCGCGAGTCACGTATGAGGAGCTTATGCGTCTTTTTAACTCAACTTCAACTTTACCTCACACGCTTACATCAATTTCTAATAAGAAATCGGAATAAAGACAACCAACCAAGAAAAACTCTTCACTCTAAGTTTTATACAATGTATTTATAGGAGGGGCGTTCTGAAAGGTTTTTTATTGTTTTGACGTATTTGTATCACTTTTATCTTCCTCATTTTTCCAAAATCAGTGAATGGCTTTGGTATCTACGGGTTTATGACATGAAACTACCCTGTCTTTTTTTCAGTCAGTTTTAGAAACACAAATGTAATCTTAGTAGTACTTGTATATCAGAATAATATTCAAAAAATGGTACTCCATATTACCACTGAATAATTGACAGGCTATCTAAAAGTTTATACAGACAGGCTATTTTTTTCTTTATTTTATAACGCGTATGATTTTACCTTTTCTCTCCTTTCATCACTACATTTATTAGTAAATCAATGAAACACGTTTCAGGAAACAGGATCAACAACCACACTTCTTTTCTTTTGATTTTCCTTCCAATCGTCTATATAAGTTTTCCATGAATAAGTGATTTCTCTACTCCGAGATCACAGCTATTCTCGTAATTTTGGACCTCACGATAGGAGCCTCCTTCTGGCTTTCCTGAATGACAACCCCCATATCATGCGCAACCCCATTTTGACAAAACCACGTTCGAGGATGAGGGCAACCTATCCTTCCCCGCTGACCTTCTGCCTTGTCGTGTTTTTCTCACTGGAAAAGGTTGTCAATTGCATTAAGCTCTGCTCCACACGAGGCACTTTTCGCTGCTTGAGTTAGAAGCGCGTCCCCAAACACAATACCGTGTTTACTCACAAACTACGTCTCATATCCGCTTTAGGATGGGACAAACTTCAATATCTTTTTTTGCGTGTTCTTAATTTCAAAAGGCTATTTCCAACTGACCTACGAGGGTGCACTCTTTTTTTCCCTGTTTTTCCATTTTGCTGTATTTCCCTTGATAGATATTCAACCACTTATTACCAATATCAGGACAGGAATCAAAACAAATAAACACGAAAGTGAAGTTCGAATTCCTTTTGTTATTAGTTAAATACAAAGTAGTGATTAGTTTATATATTTATTTATTTATTTTTGTGTTGTTCAATCTTTCTTTCTTTTTTAATTTGAAATTTATGGTTCGAGCTTTTTACAGCCCACCATTGTCATTTTTAAGCAACCATGCGTCGTCTATTTCACCCGAGGCGGCTGACTAGGGCGGTGTTTTTGCGGTGTTATACCGATGCCCAGACGATCCGAGAGCCCAACCCGTACGAACAGATCCTGGCCTCCGATAATCAAGAGTACATGGAGAACCTTCTAACGCAATACGAGAAGGATCGCTCGTCGGTGGATGCGAGCTGGTTTCCGGTCCTGGAGGCGATTCGCACGGGGAATTTGGAATTGCCGGTGGTGACCGCGTTCAGCCGGCCGATTGACGTCAAGTCGCTGTCGGTGAAGCAGCGGCTGGATAACATGCGCCTGGCGTGGATGATCAAGGAGTACGAAAGCAAAGGCCACCACGTCGCGCGGGTGGACCCCTTTAACGGGGCCTTTGTCAGCTCGCGCAGCTTAAACGACCTCCACCTCGATCCCTCCGCCTTCGGCTTCACCGAGGCCGACCTCGAGAAAGTCTTTCTCGTCACCTTCGGCAGCAATCATAAGGCGACCTTCGTCAGCGGCGGCACCGGCATGACGCTCAGCCAGATCGTCCAGGAGCTCCAAAAGATGTACTGCGGGACGATCGGCTTCGACTTCGCCTTCTCCGGGCCGGACGCCCTTTGCCAGTGGTTTCGCAATGAGGTCTACAACACCCTAAAGCCGCTCCCGGTGGAGGAAAAGCGGGAGATCCTCAACGACGTCGTGAAGGCCACGAAGCTGGAGAAGTTTCTGTACACCAAGTACCCCCTGCACAAACGCTTCGGGCTGGAGGGCTCCGAGGCGCTGGTGTTGGCCCTCAAAGCCGCGATCCTCGAGGCCAGCAATCACGGCGTGGAGCACTGCATGTTCGGGATGCCCTGGCGTGGACGGCTTAACGTCCTGGCAAACGTCTGCGGGAAGCCCCTGAAAGATATCTTCTACGAGTTCCGCGACGACATCGCGCCGGATGGCGAGACGAGCGATGACCTTTTTCTTAATTTAGGCTTCAACAATGCCATCAATCTGTCTAACGGAAAGCAGGTCGGAATTGAGGTGCTGCCGACCTCGGCCCATGCCGAGGCGGCGACCGCAATGGTGCTTGGCAAGGCGCATGCGCGGCAAATCTACACCAACGATATTGCACGAATCCATACGATGCCCATTCTGATCCACAATGATGGCTCCATGAGCGGGGAGGGGGTTTGCTATGAATTGATGGGGATGTGCAACCTCACGAACTATAAAGTCGGTGGCACATTTCACATTGTCATTAACAACCAAATCAGTTTCACCACGGACCCGAGGGATTCTCGTGGGAACTTCTACTGCTCGGAACTCGGAAAGATGAACCGAACCCCGACCATGCGCGTGAACGGCGATGACGTCGAGGCGTGCGTTCGCGCCGCCCGCATTGCCGTGCGCTTTCGACAGCAATACCAACGCGATGTGATTCTCGAGTTGGTTTGCTATCGCAGCTACGGCCACGATGTCGGGGATATCCCCGACCTCACCCATCCCAACATGTACCGAATGATCCAGGAGCACCCGCGCCTGATTGAGATTTACTCCAAGAGCCTCATCGACGAAGGCGTCATCACCGCGCCGGACTTCAAGGCGAAGGAAAGCGACTGCGAGGAGGCCATGCAAAATGCCTTTGAGCGTGCCCTCACCTCGCAAGTCTTCCCGAGGACGATCCCTCTTTTCCACCCCGAGTCTGAGAACATCGCGGAGGACCTTCCCTCGGAGGTGGTCAAGGCGGTGGAGACGCTGCTGAACGCCCCGCCACCGGCGGTCATCACCGGCGAAAACTACGACATCCTGAAATCCGTCGGCCTCCACATCGCGACCATCCCGAAGGCGATGAAAAAGCCCCACCCGGTCGTCGAGCGGACTTTTGCCAACCGCAAAAAAGGCATCGAAAACGGCAATGCCGTGGAATGGTGCCAGGCCGAGTTGATGGCGCTGGGGACGCTATCGCTGAAGGGCACCCACGTCCGGTTCACCGGCGAGGATGTCGAGCGAGGAACCTTCACCCAGCGCCACGCCTGCATCACGGACATGGAAACGAACGAGAAATACACCCCGGTTGCCACCATCTCCCCCAACCAGGCGCTTTTTGTGATGGGGAATAGCTCGCTTTCCGAGCTGGGGGTCTGCGGGTTTGAGCTCGGCTACAACATGGCGAACCCGCGGAATATGGTGATTTGGGAGGCGCAGTTCGGCGACTTCGCGAACGGCGCGCAGGTCGTTATTGACGACTTCCTCAGCGCGGGGGAGCGGCGGTGGGGGTGGCAGGCGAGCCTTGTGTTGTCCCTCCCGCACGGCTACTCCGGCGCGGGGCCGGAGCACAGCTCCGCCCGCATCGAGCGCTTTCTCCAGCTCAGCGACGCCTTGGACGTCGTCCCGACCACCTTCCGCAAGCTCCCGAACGACCAGATGCTCGAGGCCCGCATTCGCAATCGGAATTGGCAGGTTTGCTACCCCAGCACCCCGGCGAGTTATTTCCACCTGCTCCGCCGGCAGGGCCTGCGGGACTTCGCCAAGCCGCTGGTCATCTTCTTCTCCAAGGCCCGCCTCCGCGCGCCGAACCTCTCACGGCTGGAGGAGTTCGCGGGGGAGACGTCGTTCCGCGCGGTCCTCGACACCGGGGCCCCCCGGGGGCGGGGGAGGGGGCGCGCCGACGGCGAAGCCGCGCCGGCTGCTCTTTTGCACCGGCCAAATCGAAAGTATCGTCGCCGAGGCTCGCGCCGTCGTGCAGGCCAAGACGCCGAACCAACACGACGATTTGATCCTCATCACGCTCGAGCAGCTCGCGCCCTTCCCCTGGGAGCAGGTCGCGGATGTGATCGAGAAGTACACCGCGCTGAACCCCGAGGTGGAGTTGGTGTGGCTGCAGGAGGAGCCGAAGAATATGGGCATGTGGTCTTTTATGCGGCCGCGGATGAATTCCCTCATGCGGCACCTCGGCGTCCGCCAGCAGCGGATTCGGTACATCGGCCGCAGGAGCTCCGCCTCCCCGTCCACCGGCTACGGCTCCGTCCACGTCGAGGAGGAGCGCCAGATCGTTCAGGAATGTTTCGCCTAGAAACGAACCTGGAAAGACAAGGATTCTATCGCATTTAATGAAAACGACTCATAACGACACATCCAAACACCCTCCCCTCCCCCCTCCCCTCCTCACACACACACAATAAAAAAAAAAAGTGAATATCAACGACAATAACTAGTAAGAAAATTTTTTTTGAAGTCTTTGGCGGCATTCTTTTTTTTGTTGGGTTTCAATTGATTCTCTTGATACAGTGCATATTGTCAGCTAATAATTCATAGCTGCTTTGCATTTATTCTTGTGCAATTTGGGGACACATTCTTTTGGGTGTTAATATGTATATATATATATATTTATACACTTTCCACCATCGTCACCCCTTGTGCATACTTATCAGTTTGCTGTGTTGCTTCTCTGGGCATTATTTATTCATCAAGTAGTTTCCTTGTTTTATTTTTACACAATGAATTAGAATGGTACCCCCTATATCAAGGGATTTACTTCATTGAAATTTTAAATCTTAGCCATCACATTTTTACCTTTCGTTAAAAAAGTGAGAGTGAAAATTGCACTTTTCTCGTTAAGAGGAATAATACGATAATATTATTTTTATTTTGAAATAGTTGACGTGTATGTATATCTTTTTTTCTTCTCCATCTTCATGGTGTGTGGTAAAACATAAAAAAATGAAACTATTGTCCTAAGTTACTATTGTTAAGAAATACGGAATAACATAGAAAACAAGTTAAATATGAAGTATAAGAATGCCTAGAGAGAGAAGAACTCAACAATATAGTTCTAAACCCCCAAGAATCTTGTTAAATGTGTCTTGAGAATCTTCCTGCGTGCAAAATGATAAAATGAGGCAATGACATTATCAGGTGGGTCTTCTTTATTCTAGTCTCCGCGAAATCGTTTCTACACCTCTAAGAATAGCTACATCAATGAAAGTAAAATAGCTTGTATTACTAATATTTTTTCCCTCCTTTGAAATGCCTAATGTCGATCGCTCCCTATGGGTAGAGGATCGTTACGCATTGCGCTGCCGGGGCTGTGGTGAAAAGTTCACCCTCTTCCGTCGCCGCCATCATTGCCGATCGTGCGGTCAGGTATTCTGCTCTGCCTGTCTATTCCAACTCAACACCCGGGGGCGATCCTTTTCGAACTCCCTCACCGCCACCCTCAACGTTTTTGAGGAGCAAGAGCGGCCGCACCAACTGCGGGATCGGGTCTGCAAACGATGCGCGACGCATCCGACGCGCACCTCCGTCGAGTTAAACGCCGATTCCCCCCTCCCGCAAGTCCAACCCGCCGACGACTCCAGACAAGGGAACTTTTCGTCCCCTTCGGCGAGCTCAACTGCGGTGAAAACCCCGGGATCGACCCACCGGTCCCCGGACCCCTCGCAGTGCATCCTCCACGAGGTGGCCCAGGCGGGAAAACGACCTTCGAGTTTTCAATACGAATGCCTCGACGCCTCGCTGGAGCACGCATGGCTCGAGGACATTGAGGGGCCCGCGCAAAGTCCGAAACGGCATCCCCAACAACAACAACAACAACAACCCCCTATGGTGCCCCTACATCACCCAGAAACGGACGAAGAAAAGTCCATTTCGTACACAATGAATCGACTGCAGCCGCGTTACCATAATAGCTTACAGGAATGGCTTGAAAAACAATTGCATGACATTGATCTCGCTAGATCGACATCCGAGACCGATGCTCTGCGTTTATCCTCCTCACAATGTGCTCATTCGAGCCTCACGGGCGACCCTATCGTTATACCTGCCCGGAAAGGGAAGGATGCTACCGGTCTTGTCCTTTCCTTTGCGGAGCCCCTTTTGCTTTCATCAAGTTCCCCCTCCGCAGCGAATAAAATGATCGCGGATTTGTCAGACTCCCCTTGTACGCCGAATAAGACCAACATCCCTCACCATATCGCGCAGGCGCAGGCCCTAGATAACTTTCTGTCTGATCCTACCACACAGGAGTGCTTTGCCCTACACTGGCTGAGGCGTGCACTAAGCAACCCCACATTTACCGAAATCTTGAAGCCGTGCGTTAAGGAAAATATGACGGGGAACAGTGAGGACGACTACCCATCCAATTCAGCCTTGTGGGCGACGCCTTGGCTGCAGGCGATTTACACCACCACAGCGCGGGTTCTTCGCAAAACCGTGGTCACGTTGGGCGGGCACATCCACCACCACGTCGAGATCGTCGCGTTGTACTCACATGCCAGCGAACCCAAAACAAACGCGCGAGACCATTCCCAGGACTTCTACCAAATTGATATCGTCCCCGGCGTTGCCTTCAAACGCTCGCTTGTTTCGAAACGAATGCCGTCCTACTGGGTCCACCCGCGAATTCTTTTCCTCGGGGGCCACGTCTCGTACAAGATGAAATCCCTGAGCTTCGGCGAGTATGTGGATTCCTACCAAGGCCACCTGGACAAGCTCTTCCATCGCATTCAAGTATGGGCCCCGCAGGTGATTGTGGTGGAGGGGAGCATGCACCACTACCTGCAGACCTGCGTGGCCAACACGGGTGTGATGAGTTTGGTCCTCAACGTCGGCCCCTCCCTCCTCACGCGGCTGGCCTCCTGTTGTGGGGCGACGTTGGTGTATGATTTGGACTACATCACGGTATCCGACCTGCGTGATGAGAAGACGCCCCTAGGGACGTGCGGCGTCTTTCGCATGGTGGCGGTGAGGGAAACGGCCGCCTCGTTGTGCGTGTTTGAGCAGCTCCCGAAGAAGATGGTGTCGACGGTGGTCCTGCAAGGGCCCCAGCCGGACACCACCACGGGTCCGCAGGATTATCAGATCAAGGCATGGCTGCGGGAGGGTCTTGCCACCGCGTATCACGTGTTATTGCAAGCCTGCAGCCTCCGGGATTTCGGGATGGCGATGAGGGCGCCAAACGACCAGTTAAGTGAGGTGTGGTGCGATAAATCCACACGAAGCATCCAATTTACTGACTTTCAGAACCTATACAATTTATTGAAGGCTCAGGAAGGATGTGCTGAACTTTCCATAAACTATGGAGTACGTTTGGGGGATGATGTGATGCGCTTGCTTCATAGCAAGACATGGGCGGTTGAGGTGTATCATCGTCTGCGGGATCAGATCCACGTTCAGTGCATCGCACTTGAGACGTTGCGTTCCGAGCCACTCTCTTTATTAACCACCGGTGGGAAACCAGGCGAGGCGAATCCCATACCGTTGTCCAGCAGTGATGTTCAGGTGTCCACTGCAGCCGCATTGACAAAGAGCCTCCATGCACAAATGCAGGAGACCTATGTATTTTATCAAAAGGAAAGTGATCAGACCGTATTAGCGTTTTTAGTCGCGCACTCGAAGGAGCGACTGGGGTCGCACAGGATGATGGGGCATGCGGAGCATCAAATCTTGGTTTCAACCTGCAGCGCCCCCGAGGCTTTTCAGACGTCGAGGCCAGAGGACGAGTCTCTGCAAGCCTTTCTGGAGATTCAAAGCCAATCCCTGATGTTTAGGCTCAACGAGGACGAAAAGAATAGCCTATTCCGACCGATCTGGGATATGGTGAGCTACTTTGTGAAGCCGCCGGGTTGCTATGTGGAGTGTCCTTTTTGCAACGACCCGGCGCGAGAAACCGAGCAGGATCAGCCGCCTGGTGAGCTGCGTTTTCTATCGCCGCATGCGTTGAACCTGTCGATCGGCGCCTTCCTCGAGCTTCTGTTTTACGCCCACACCTCCCTGCGGCATGGACCTTGCACCCATGCACTGAATAAAAAATTTGCCGTTTGTTTTGTATGCTACCCGCCCATATCTCGCCCGGCGGTGTTGATTCGCTTGGATGTCAAGCCGTTGATGGTCTATCGTCTGCGCCCTCCATGTGGTGCCCTGGAATGGAAGGAAGCGGCATCCCATCCGACGCCGTCGTCTTCCGCGGCGCGGGAGGAAAGGGATCGGCTGTGGGATGCCGACCTTTCCAGGGTTCAGTCCGCGCTTTTAAACGGCGTCGAGGACGTGGTGGAGGCGAGCTCGCAAGAGCGGGAGCCCTCAGTCCCCTCCACCCATGCGCCCCTTTCCGAGTTAAATAGCCCAACCGTCGTCCTTCCCCGGCGGACGCCCACCCCTCTCCCGCGGGTTGAGGACCATGAGGGGTGGTGGAGCCCGGCCGACCGATTGGGCCTTCGCGCGGACGAGCCCACGAGTTTTCTCCGCATCGCCCTCACACGTCTCTACGGGGTTGGGGAAGTGGAGGGGGGCGGCCCTTTCACCTTCCCGAAAACCACCCACGACGCCTACCAAGTCTTTGATGACGCTGCCAATATGGGGAAATCATCGGAAATCGACAACCAGGCCATCCGGCACCGCATCACGCTCAGCGATTTGACTTCCGCGTCGGGCGAGGTGATTGGGTCGGCCACCGTTGACGTCTTTTATCCTACCCCCTTCGCGGCCCTCCAGTTCTTGTTTTTCCAAACCGTCCCCGAGAAGTCGGTGCTGCGATCGCTCGCGCGGTGCAGCATGGAGCGCCTGCAGGGGGGCAAGTCGAGCGCGAAGTTCTACCGCACCTGGGATGGGCTCCTGCTCAAGCGGATCAAGTGGATGGAGATGAAGCACTTCGTGATGGCGTGGGGGCCTGAATACTTCCGACATATGGCGCGTTGCTTCTCCTGTCAGCACTGTAAAGACGACCCCAAGGCCGGGGAAGGGGCATCCGCGCAGCTCCAAAATTCCGCTGGCGTTTTTTTGGTGAAAATCTTAGGTCTTTATGCGGTCCAAATCACGCGTAGAAATAACACACAGGATGGCAACTACACGAGCACGGTTGAGGAGATTCAGTACTATGTGCTTATGGAGAACCTCACTTTGCGCAAGGGTGTGCACGTCGACCTGACGTTTGATCTGAAAGGCAGCCAGCGCAATCGAACCGCACCGGAGGGTTCAAGCGTGAAGCTAGATGTGGACCTCGTTGAGCAGATTCGAAATGGACGCTTTTTGTTCTGCTCGAGCGCGCAAAAATACATGATAATGGCAACCCTCCGCCGTGATACCCAAGTTTTAAGCAACTCTGCTATTATGGACTACTCCCTCCTGGTAGCGCTTGACGTTTCGCACGGTGAAATTTTCCTCGGTCTGATTGACTTTTTGCACCCCTACACGAGTGCCAAGCTGCTGGAATCAAGAGTGAAGTCGGGCATCGACACTGTGCTGGGATATTCTGGGAGAGATCCAACCATCATCGGACCGTTGGACTACAAAGAGCGGTTCCTGAGGTATATGAATCTCTACTTCTGTGGGATTCCAAATAAACTGCACCCACTCATTGAAGAAATGGCTCAGGATGAGGAACGAAAGGCGACCCGTGACGCCGAAGACACACAAGATTCGAAACGGTGAAAATTGATTTACACTTCTTTTTTTGTAGTCTCAGAGAAATCGAGAACGTGAAGGGGCTTCCTGTCATACGCTTTTATGCAAGTAACTAGATGAGTATATAGTTATTTTTTGGCGTATGACATAAAGGATTCACCATCATCTAATTCCGTTTTAATGTGGTTATATCAAACATCTTTTTTCTTTTGTTTTTCATTCATGTAGGCTTACACCACAACATCAAGGCACTGACGTGCACGCCTGTGTAGTGTAAAACTTGTTCATTCGCACAGATTCCCCTTCTGTCCATTTCTTTCAAAATCTATGTGTCATGGAGAAATTAGCCCAGCTGCTGTGAATAACAACACTATATTATTTTATCATGGCCTTGTCCTCCGACCTCCGATCCGCCTATAACGTTAAGAATAAAAAGCAGGACATCCCCCTGCCACCCGTGATCGATGTGATGCAGAATCGTTATCCGTTTTGCATTGTCTGGGCGCCGATTCCGTTTATCTCCTGGATTTTCCCCTTTATCGGGCATGTCGCTATCTGCGATAGCGAGGGCAGGATTTATGATTTTCAAGGTGATTTCCATGTTGGCACTGATCGAATGCTTTTTGGGCGCCCACTGAAGTACTGGGATCTCTCTAAATTCTACGTACCGTCTTTCTATAATCCCTCGAAAGATATGCACCAGATCGATAGTGAACAAGTCCAAGACGAAATCGACGCTTACAACTCTGGCATAAGCCTTGCCAAAGGCCAGTTTACCTTTTCGGAGCACTATAACTTCTTTACCAATAATTGCCACTCATTCGTGGCAGATTGTCTTAATAAACAAACAATTTGCCTTCAGAAGTCAAACATGTTTTCAATTTGCTTAGGGATGGTTTTGCACAGCAAGTACACTTCCATGTATGGGTGTGCTATCGTATTTGCACCTCCTATTATTTTAGTAGTGCTCCTGATTATTATTATATCTTGCTGTTAGACTGCATAGAGGTTGCAATAGGCGGATCATTATTATTACCTTTTTCGTTTGGAAGCACTTGGAATCCATTTACTCAAAAACTTGATTAATTACAATAAATGTGAAGGTTTACACCGTTCTAATGATAAAAACTATGCGATGTTAAGAGATCCGTAAAATGGTATGAAGACGAAATCGATATATTCGTAAAGTTTGGTTTTCTTCTTGACAATTCCTTCCAATTGAGAAATGCTTATTGGATTTTGCTCCAGGTTTATTATATCATTTTTATTTCTATGAATTTGTATTTCTATTTACTTCTTTGCGTATATAGTCTCAAACGAGGAAGTGCCCAGTTGTAATCAAAAGGACAAACTAAAGCTTTCATAAGTGAAAACGATGAGAAAACTGCATGAGTATAATACCTCTTCGAGGGGTAGTGGGGATCCATTTCAGAACGCAATGGTCCCTGGCGAAACCTTACCATTCTCTGATACGGTGATGCCACGCTTTGAACTCTCATCGCTGTGGATCGAAAATTTATCGAGCATGGGGGAGCTGCAAATTATCTCCATGGACTGCCAACGGGGAGTGATGCCGATTCTTCTTGCAGATGGTGTACTGGTGGTACACAACATTACTGAAGACCAGAAGCTCTTCTCCGCAACGGTGAAAAATCCATACAAGGTATTTGTCGACCCCACAGGTAGTTTTATTATGGCACTGTCGCTTGATGGTGAGGTTTACTTGTTTGATGTGAAAGACACCCGCGCGACCGCGCACGTTCCGCTTTCATTGGCGGCTCAGGACGCATTGCATTTGTCCTCGACGCGCTCGCAGAGCATGTGCGTGGGGGAATGCGTGTGCTGGTGCCCGACCTCAATCAGCCCTACCGATTCCACCAAACCCCCCAAACACTCCTGCATCGTCGGCTCCAAATACGGAGGTGCACTCGTAGAGGTCCACTTTGAAGTGGGTTCATCGTCTCGGCTTAAACTGTACTGTGGGCGAACCCTCCAACTGCCCAATTTTTTTCCACCGCAGATGCCCGTGGCGTCGGTGGTGATGGTCCTTTCCGGCGCGGACTGCCTCTTGTGGGCCTCCTCCCCCACCCAACTCTTTCGGAGCTGCGTGAAGGAATGGACCACGTCGGGGGTGCTTTCCGCGCTCGCGGCGGGGTCGGACGTCTTTACCGTTTCGGAGGTCCCCCACCACGGGCCGGCGGACCCCCAAACCGGGGCCCTCGCCGTCTTCCAGCCCGACGCGAATCACCCCGTCAACGCCTTCGTGTGGACCTCCGCGGCCTGGCTCGTCCATGGCCGGTTTCCGCAGGGCGGCGCCGCCGCCGCCGACTTCGCCCCGGCCGCCCCCGGCGGGGTCTACGAGGAGCGGATCCCCCTCGACGAGATGGTCCGGCTGGGCGGCCCCGCCCACCCCCCCAGCGCGACCGACCCCGCCAACCTGCGCTTTCCAAGCGAGCTCCCCTTCCTGGTGGTGCCGGCCGCCTTTCACCTGATCCTGCTTTATCCCCAGCGCTGCCTCGTGGTGAACCACCCGCCCGGGCTGCCCTGGCGGGGCCACGCCTCGGCGGTCCCGCCGGACCACCCCATAACCCTGGACGAGCTCATCGCGCGAGTCCGCTTTGATCCCTTTCGCGGCATCCAGCACATGGAGCCGCTCCGCGGGGCCATCCGAGACGTCGCTGAGCGAAAGCTCTACGTCTTCAGCGACTGCCGTGTGTGGGAACTCCAGCTGGAGCAGGAGCATCGGCAGCAATGGAAGCTCTTCCTCGATCGAGCGCTTCGGCCCGACCTGCCCGCATCCCTGCGCCACCGATTGTTTAGGGCAGCCTATAAGCTTTCCTGCTTCAACTCGGCGCAGCGCGACATCGTGCTGTTTCTGCACGGACATTTTGCCTACCAACAGGGGCAGCGCGTGAACGAGGAGATCGCAGTCGGTTTGTGGGCAAAATGTGATTTGGTAGAGACCATTTACAACTTTTTGGCCGCCCAACGACGCGAGGCGGTGCTCCATTTGTATGTTTTGAGGCGCTATGAGTTCCTTGTCAGGCTTTACGAGCAGGAGAGCCTCTTACCAAACCAGCTGCAGGAACTTCTGGTGCAATTGGGATGTTTTGTCGTTTTTGTTTTGCAGCAAAAGCTCAGCGTCCCAAACGTCGGTGAAACGGCCACGCCGGATGGAAATGAGGTGGATAGCTTCTTACAACATGCCGCCCGCCACTGCCCACGCCTGTTTAAGGAGAAAGGTTTTTACCGCACCGTCTTGCGACTGCTGGAAGAACAGGGACAGGTAAAAAAAGCCTCGGAGGTTGCAATGCTGTCGGAACACTCGCAATACGTCGTTACCTATCACTTCCACCATGGAAACTACCAAAAGGTGATAGAAATTCTGACGGAGAGCACCATCTTGGGGAAATCTGATATGGCGGAGGAGTGGTACGAGTACTCGCCAGTGTTGATCCAGCACATTCCTGTCGCTCTCATAGCCGGCATTCTGCGGGTAACCGCGAAGGAAGTCCGGGCTCGCCGCCCGCCACCCCTTCGGATGGAGCGCCTCCTACCGGCCTTTCTTCGGTACACGTCCCCACAAATGAACGAAGACCCTTCCAACACGGAGCACCAGGTTATCGTCATGCTTGAGGAATGCATCTATCAATTTCATTCCACTTCCCAGACGATCCATCACTACTACCTCTCGCTTCTGTGCGAGCAGCAAGATACCGTGCGGCTTCAGGAGTTCCTGAAAGACGCCTTGTTCTATGAACCTGAATACGCCATACGGTGTTGTCTGCGGCACAAATGTTTTGAGGCGTGTTTGCTCCTCTACAAGCGGCTCCACCTTTACGAGGACGCGATTCGCATCGTGTTGGAAACCTCGGCGCCGGAGCAATCGGATGGGCATTGGCCTGTGCTAACTCGCGTGAAGGACATGTTGAAGGAGATCCAAAGTGAGCTCGACGCTGAAACACAGAAGCGCTTGTGGGCACTCACGGCGCAATTGGTCAGCAAAAAATGCGATCCGAAGGTCACGCTTGCCCTTGTTGACGACTCCAATGGCATCCTTCAGCTTGAGGACGTCATTAGTGGTATCAGCGACCAGCATGTGACGCGTGACCTCAAAGAAATCATCTGTCGGGATCTCAACCAGTACTCAATCGATATCGCGGAAATTAATCAGCAACAAGACAAAGCATACCGCACCATTGAGGGCGTGAGGCAGGAACTAAGGGAACTCCAGTACAAATACGGCTATGTCACCCTGAAACAGCGCTGTCTGTTGTGCCCCAGAAATCTACTGTTGAGCTCCGAGCCGTACTTGATTTACCCCAATTGCCACCACGCCGTGCACAAAAAGTGCGCTGTGGCGCGGCTCGAGCGCCTGGGCGGCACGGAGGCATTCCTTACGGATGAGGGCGTCGCCCCACATGTCCTGGAATGCGTCAATAACCTGGAGGAATTGGCTCAGGCGGATTGTGTGATTTGCGGCGAAGCCGTCATTGTTGAAATTGACATTCCAATTTGTGAAGAAGACCCTTCCTGGGCCCTGTAAATTTCCCCTCCCAAATAGAAAAAAAAACATCCATCTTGTGCACATAAACAACGTGGAGAAGTATTTGCTGCAAATGTTCCCACTTCCTTCTTTTTGAAAACTGCGCTTCAGAATTGTTTCTTTTCTCTCCCGTGGAGATGCTTCCATTTTTTCTGGTGGCGCTCCCACCGCCTCTCCCAGCGCCAAAGCGCCACCGCGGCGAGGCGGATGTAATAGTAGTTGTCGGCAGCCCGCGCAAGGTCACGCCAGGCTTCCACGCCCCCGTCTGCTCGGATCTCGCGCACGACGCCGTCGAAAAAGGAGCGGAGCCGGGCGGAAAAACAAAATTGGGCCGCAGCCCCCACAGCAGGGGCCCGCGCCCGGCCTGGTTTAAAAAGGCCGTCTGCGCGGTTGGGCGCTTTCCGACTGGTCAACGCCTGAACCGTTTTGCGCGGAATTCCTTCCTTCTGAGGTTTCCCCGGAGAGGCTGTAGGTGGCTCACCGGCGGCGTCTCGCGTGCGCGCGGAGTGAAAAGTATTGCGTGAGACGGTGCGTGGCTTAGTAGACCCCGCCTTCCCCTTTTTGGCCTTACGAGTGCTCTCACCTTTGTACAACAAATCGCAAATTACTTGTGCATCTTCGTTGTCCATGGCCTGGTCGTTGATTCCTGAGCCGCTAGGATCTGGGCACGTGGTAGTATCGCGGCTGAGCAGCATACTGGGGTTAGAAGCGATATTCACCCCCAGATGCTTTTGCCACCACGACTCCTGTACCTCTTGCATTGCTTGCTGAATGCTCAGATCTAACGCAAATCCAGAAATATCAGCATGCTCGGTATTTTCCTTTGTATGCGTGTGTGTGTCGTCTTCACGTTGTTCGTCTATTGCCATGTTTTCTTGCAAAGGTTGTGGCTCATCGCAAAGAATTAAACTTTCATCGGTGTCAATAGCCTTTTGGAGCGCGGTAATGGAAGTGGGGATGCAAGAGTGAAGTGATTCGTTCGACTTCAACGTGAGCGGCATTGTTGGCATGGCCTCTGGGAGCACCGTTGCTGCGACAAGCGGCCTATTGGCGATTTCAGGTTCTCGAAAGCTCCAATATCCAGACATTTTTGAACAAATACACGCATAAACGGGCGGAGGGGAAAATAATACGGGAAAAAAGTAGAACACTGGGGTGTCCCATAAAAATGTGGACCTGATAAGAAGTCTAATACAGTAAAATGCCTTTTATGCAAAGAAACAAGTCAACATACAAGAAAAAAAAGTTGTGAGAAGGGGATAATCAATTATCTTGCCGTCAGATTTTAGACTTTTACGGAAACGAACATCGGACATAAAAAATGCCAAATCTTGAGCATCAATATTTTTTAAATACTTTTTCCTAAAATGCATGAAAAAAAATTGCTAAACTAATGGGGAAATACTTTTGTGGCAATCAATGTGCTTTATATAAAGTTGACATGATGCCTTGTAATTAAACTTTACAGGAAAGAAAAGGGAGATTTTGACCAACGGGCTGCGAAATTACAATCATCTGGGATGCTTCCCAAGTTTCATGTGGAGAAAGCTGGGGTTTATCGATGATGGTACCGTGCTCTACGCACACAAACTTCTTGAAGCCATCTTCGGGCATATCGGCCATCCCCTTCGTTTTCTCAACCCAGGGGTTCCATAACACGACGTCCTTGAACCCGTCCCCGGTGATGGTGAGCTGCTTGGAGGTTTGATGCTTGGCCGATGTCGTCTGCAGCGTGACGGGTCTGTCATCTTGATTGAGATAGATGCGATCGATTTCGCCGTTGATGAAATGAACCGCCTCGGGTGCGCAGGGCTTGCGATTCTGCAGATCGTCGAGGTACGCCGTCTCATCCAGGCCGTGGATCCTCACCTTGTGCGCATCCGCCACTGCAAAATAGCTGTGAAAAGCAAAGGCAAAGGTCAAGGGACGATCCGTCGACAGGTTTGCCAGGCGGATATGCAGCCGGAGTGTGGCGGCGGTGAAGGTAATGGTGTACACCAACTTGCAGTGGGCCTCCGCGAAATAGCGCTCTTGCTGGGGCTTCAAGAGGTACTCAAGGACCAGCTCATACACGGAGCCTTTCTGCGCGCTCCCCCGCACACTCCACTGCGGGCTCACGCGAAGAAAGCCGTGAGAGACCGGAAGCGGGCCGAGGTCGGAGAATTGGGGAAAAATCAACGGGACGCCACCACGGATGGCCTTACCCGGCTGATATAACGCCTTAGGGCTCGTGTACAGGTGCTCTTCGCCGTCTTGGGTGCGCCAACTCGTGATGTGCGCGCCCTGTTGGTAAATTGTGAGCTGGGAGAGGTCCAACTCATTGGTAAGGCAAAGTCGGCTTGCTTCGCCAGGTGGGAATTCGGTCATTTTTCCAAGAGTGATTTCAAAGTACACTTTTAAATAGTCATACACATATACCTACTGATCGCATTTTGGAGAAGATTCGGAATGGTAAATAATTAATAAAATGGTAGATAGATAATAGAATACAAAAAGGCATCCCCATCAGGAGATTGGTTTCATTGGTAACCGATATCGTTTTTACTTAACATGAATATTATACAGATGAGATGGTATATAGGAAGGAAAAGGGGGGAAGGGGGGTGAAGAATGAGGACATATACATTACTGCTTTTTCATATTAAATGTCCCTCGCGGCGACGTTTTTTCAATCAAATAACGCGTCTGCGCGGTTGTAGACTTTAGGGCAGGTACGAGTATTGGTGTCGTGCTTTGGTAAAGAGCATATTGTGGGTACTTTTTCAGAGAAAGTCGCTCCGTGGTCAGGCGTGTGGAGAGAGAAATCACCACCGCCTGTATCACGCACCCGACCCCCTGCCACCAGTGCCACGACACCCTCGACCTCCTCCGGTTTTGCGCCGCCGCCAGCGCAAGTGTAAACCAAATAAATATCTCGCAAAAGAGGTTGAGGTGACGACTATAGCCAAACACACCAGTCATGCAAAACCCGTACGAAGGAGGCGAGTTTTCGCCCCCCGTTTTGTTGCCTGGCCGCCGCTTCGCATTGTGAAAGTTCCACTGCTGCTGATCGCACACCGTCTCAAAGATCAGCAACAGCAGGAGGAAGCCAAGAAAGATACAGTCCCTCTGGCTTAACGCGTCCGCCGGGAAGCTCAACATGGGCAGGGTGATGGCCCAGATCAGAGCGCTCTGAAAAATGCAAACGAAGACAAGGTTGAAGAGCATCCGGCTGACGCGATTCCGAAGGAACGACCCCGTGCGCACATAGCCCCATGGAAAGTTCTTTCCACCATAGATGTAGCCGCCACGCCGATAGGCATTGTAAACCAAGCGCAGGCCCCAGAACGTGATAAACGACGCATACACCGTCGCTACGTTAACGTACGGCCGGTGCATGGCGCGTTTATTACTGCCTATGGCATAGTAAGCAATGATCCATGCATGCATTATGCATGCAATCGGCAAAATACGACCCATACATGAGAAATTCCCGGTTGATTGCGAGACTACAAAAGTAAGGACGCAAATGGCCACCATTAGGACGAATGTACAGTTAAACGGAGATGCAGTCGCTAATTTTAGGGTGCCATACAACCCTTTTTGAGAGCGGTGCGTGCTGACGGAACCAAAGCCAGGGAGAAGACGAATCCATGAATTTGAGGCCATAAGTAAAAGCAGGAAGTTTTATGTTTAACCTTTTAAACTATAATGGAATAATAAATAGTAAGACGGGTTTTAAAACGACTAGGAAGTCTTGTCACCGTATTATTGGTATAATAAAACAGTAGTTAAAACCTATCCTCGGAGTCCCACCACCACGAATACCTACTTTTTCGTTTTTGTTGAAAGAGAGTTCCAAATAGTAAATATATTACTACAAAAAAATATCTATAAGAAATATTCGATTCTACTAAAATAATGTTCAAATCTCTGATGTTTGCTATCCTCTTAGACGCACGTATAGGTTACAAATTTATGCTTATCGGATGGGTAGAGTCGCCATCCTTGGTAATGTTTCACAACCTCAAGAGGGCTCCTTCGTCCGCGGTTGGTTCATCTTGACAAGTCAACGGGTTATAAAGCGCTCTTTCGGCCTTGGACAGACGATTAATATCCACGTTTGCCATTATTTTCTTTACCATGCCCACCAAAAATGACGTTGACTTACTCATGGTAAATTTTTTCCCGTGATCGTCGGTTGATTGGTCAATCGCCCTGTCTAACTCCTTGGAGTAGCGTCCCCGAACCCCCATAACGGCGATGTACTGCTCCAACACGGTAAGTCGCGCTTGGGCGGGTCGGTCGGGGTCCTCCAGCTCCATCGTCGTGAGGGATGTCGGACTTTCCGGGTGGTCGGACGATGTCGAATCGGCAGGGGGGGTCGAGATCGCGGAGACGGGCGAGTCCGTCCCGATCGCCCGCCCGATCCCCCGGCTCAGCGCGGCGGCCCGGAGATCCGCCACGCTGACCCCGCCCCTGCCGAGGTCCGGGCTCTCGAAGGCGTAGTCCACACAGCGGCCGAAGATGAGCCCCTTGAGCCCCCACAGCGCGGCGCGCAAGAGCTGCCGGCCCTTCGTCTTGCTTCCCCCCCCATTCCACCTATCCTCCTTCCGCTTTCCCACGCCGACGATCCGCCGAAGGAACTCCACATCCAAACTCAGGTCCTCGCCGCGGAGGAGGGGGCGGCGGAAGAAGCCGGAGTTCGCGCGGAGGTTGCGATAGTTCCTCCAGAGCTCCTCGACGTGTTGGCGAAGGCCGTCGTGGTAGTCCCCACCGGCGAGCAGCCGTATAAAGACGAAATCGACGCGGTAGGAAGGCAGGAGATCGAGCGGAAGGGGCGGGTTCGGGAGGTCCTTCCGCCACTGCTCGAACAACACCCCCAGGCAGGTCCGGGCGAAGGTGTCGGGGTGAAGAATCGTCAGCTCGCGATACGGGGTCGCCACCAGCGCGACCAAGATGAGGTCGGAGTCATTCCCGACCAGAACGACGTCGTCCTCGGGGCGGTAGACCCCTTTCCGGGCATCGTCTTGCCAGACCTGGCGAATCAGGCGGCTGATTTTCAGCTCGCCCTCCCCGGGCTCGAGGCTCCGGCTCATCCGCCGCGTCGTCCAGGTCGCCAACGCGTCGTGGGCCAGCTCCATCTCCCGCAGCATCGCCTCGAGGAACTCCTCGCAGGCGTAGACGAACTGGGAGCCGGAGCCGATCTCCGGCTTCCGCAGGGGAACCTCCGCGTTGAGGAGATCGCAGCTGAAGAGGCCATCCGAGGAGGCGGGGCTGCGGGACGGGGGGTGGGGCGACAAGGACGCCCGGCGCTCTTTTTGGGTCGGGATCTTCGCCAGCGGCGCGATGCCGTCGAAGACGACCCCCAGCGTCGAGCTCGGCCGCACCTGGCGTAGGATCGCCAGCACCAGGCGGCGAATCCCCTGCAGGACGCGTCGCGTTGTGCTCCCGTGGGTCTTCTCGAACGCGATGTGCAGGATGCAATTCATGTCAATAAACAGGTGATTGGGCCGGAGCACCCATGACGAACCCTGGCCACCCATCTCCTTCGGCGCATCATAGACTACGCCGTGCTGCTCAATATATTTCCATAGCCCCTTCACACCCATTTTGGAAGGGATGCTCGCTTTGGTTTAGTTACTTGAAAGATTCACTCTCCAGAAGCTAATCATTCACGAATTTTTTTTTCAGATAAACAACAACAAAAAAGTACGTACAGCAGAATTAACATCAATCCAGTTTGTCAGGTCTGAAATCCCGAGAGAAACTTGACATCCCCACACGTTTAGAATTTGAATTTACTTGCTTCTTTGCGAAGCTAATGAGAAAATGAGCGATGCTCAGTTCCTCCATACAAGTGAAAAGTCTTGTTTTTGGTTGGTATTTTGTTTGTTTACGTAGTCAGTTTTTTCACGAACCTTTAAACTCATGTATACAAATCTAACAAGATGAAAATTTTTACCACATTTGTATATAGCAAAAAAAAAAGTCTTTACAACCTATTAGATCTAACTAATGCATCACAAAGACCTTTTTCCACAATTGACATAATACAAGGCTTAAAAAATGTGTACAACAAATTGAGCTTGAACACGTTGCTCGATAGTTTAAGCGATTTAATAGAGACCGACGACTCCTCAATCCGGAGTTCCGGGTTCTCCCTAAATGCAATCATCACTTTGGCATAAAGCTTGACTTTAACACGACGCACCTTTACACTGAGCTCGCCGTTCGTAACTCCTTTTGTATAGGTATAGACGCCGGGTCTATGGCACTGAGTGCTGTTCCTTAGGCATCGCTTTTGCCTGTCTGCGTCGGATTCTCCAATGAAAGCAAATTGTACAGGATGGAGGAAAAGTTTCTTAATAAAAATCCTTACCTTAACACGCATTCCATCATCAATAAACTCACAACTACACTTGTTTGGGTCAATCTCCAGTTCCTTGATCTGAAATTCGCTTGTTGAAAGCAGCTTTCGCCCTATCAATGGAACACGGACAGAAATTTCATCTAATGGTGACGCTAACTGCCATCCAAGGGCCTCCTTGTTTAAGAATTCCATCGAAGCTTTCAGAATGTCGTCGACCTGCTTTACAAACAATGGGCAGCAGCTATACACCTCCTTTATGAGATTACAACTATTCCCACTGGAAAACATGTTCGAAAAGTTCACCAGCAGGGATGTTATCAACTTCCAACGTTTCTCCTCCTCGATAAAATACATAATGTTTTCGGAGCCCTTGGAAATAATGGCATCTAATGTATCGATCTCCTCGCGCTCACGTTGTGTCATGGGGAATACCTCATTTTTGTTTGGAGTTGGGTGAAAAATGCCTGACTTCACCTCGATCACAGGTATATTTCGAGAAGGCTGCGTTTTCTGATTAATCTCAGATTGTGTGTAATTACAGTGATAGTTACCTCGCCAATCCTCCGACTTCGGTGATGCTAATTGAGACTTTGTAAATAAATCGTCATTGGCCTGTTTTTTCTTAGATAATCTCATGGCAAAAGGTTCACTAGACTCATCATCTTTGCTCATAGTGGATGTCAAGTTTTCATTTCGATGTGACATACCTTCCTCTCTGCTGAAAGGTGACAAAAATCGCACAGGATTCCCTTCGGCATTGTCGCTGTAACGAAATCTATTCGAGATCATAGGGTGAAGTAAATCAGGAGCTTCCACCATTCCGCACTTTTCATAATCCTTATATGGATCTTTGTGAATTCTAAGATTGTCCATATTTAACGGACAAGTTCTAAAAAAATTCTTTAGTGATAGAAAACTGTCCAAGCTCTCCGCTTCCGTTCTCTGGATGGGAAGATTTGAGGCGGAAAAGTCCATGTCCGGGAATTCGGAAAGCCAGCGAATGATTGGCGCAATTTCTCTTCCCCCCATGCGATAAGCCTTCTTTTTACTCAGCCCTTTCGCATCCTTTTGACTATTTTGATATCGCGACCGCGAAGTTCTGGGGGAAAACTCCTCATTAGCAGATCGCGCCGATCTCGTTTCAGTGGTTTGCTCCTCATTGGAAAGGGAGAGCCGCTGATGAACTGCATCCTGCAGTGACCGCGGTGCTAAAAGGACCTGCTTATCCCACCCCGACGTATCCACGGGTAAGACGCGCACAGTGTAGTTGTATTCCCGCGTTGACGACAGGTGGGAAAAGCACTCCTTATGGCAAGCCTCGCGCGCGCGTTGGGTAAGAAGGAGATCGACCCCCTCAAAAGAATCCACGCATTGGGAAGGATCGGCCTTCGCTGCCGAGTTCCGTTTAGCATCCCACCACTCCGTCATCCAGCGGAGGCTGGTGATGTCGGGGCGATGCGCGTCATAGACCCACCGCGCGGCCTTCTCCACGTTGGTGGTACCGCACAGGGCGGAATAAAGTTGCGCAGGGGTCGCGTACGGGCACAAGGCCTGCAGATAGGCAAACCGGCTCTCCTTCAGCGTGAAGGGCCTCACGTCCGTTCGAGGGCTGAGATGGGGCGAGCCAACGGTCTGAGTGGGGAGTTGAGGGTGAGGATCGGGGACCGAGACCCTGCTAGATCCTTTTATCATGGTTAGTTATAACAAAGAAGAAAAAAAGCACTACACTGTCGTGTGGATAACTAACGGAAACCCTAGAAGAGACTCACACCGAAATTAAACGTTGTTTCAACTATTCAAGAAGATGGCACGCGTTGCAAGTTAAGATACCCCTCCTTTCCTCTCTTCTTCTCTTTCACACACAGACACACAAAGAGAAAAAAGATCACGAGTGGATGATGTCCAGAGGTGAGTGGGTACACCGCTGTACTTCGTGTGGGGTCTGGTTGCTACCAACGGATGGGTCCACAATGCCTCGTGAGGATTGCAATAATGTCAGGCCTCCGTGGCTCCCCTGTTGAATATTGGGTTAGGGAATCTAAGCCCGGAACGGACTGAAACGAGATCAAAGAAAAAAAAAAGAAGAACACAATGTAGTTGTAATAATAATGTACCCCAGTCAAGCCCCTCATAGTAGAGCGGAAATAATAAAATGATAACGTTAAGGTGCATACCTTCCCCCCTCCTCCCCTCAAAAAAAAAAAATGATCATGGGTTGTAAATAAATGTTTAAAATGCCCCCTCGAAAATAACAGAACTTCCTGTAATAATTAATGGCTCATTATTTTCATGAATAAAATTATGAAGGGAACTAGTCATTTTTCAGGGGGGCTCGATTCGCGCACTTAATAAACATGTAGGGCATTTTTAGTACTTGTAAGACTAAATCATAAAAGCTGAAAGCGCACACGATACTGTTGATACCTTAATTGTATCCATCTCGCCTTTGTGATCCTTTGCATCATTATCGCTTTTTCCACTATCAATTTTAACCCTGCCATCTGGCTAAAATGTCTTCTAGGATAAATTGATAGAATATAAAAATAGAGTCTCGATCTCTATAGAATCGGTCTAAACAACACTTGTCTTGTTTGCATTTAAATCTTTTTTGTTTTAATAAAGATTAAAAGCTCTCGTTGGTAACGAATTGTTTCGAGATTAGACCCAAAAAATGTGTATAAAAAAGGCTATGCTCATAAATGGAGTTTTTATTATCCTTTCATATGCAACCAAATAGTAAAAGGTCTACTCCAATAATGAAAATAACAGTATGGCGAGTAGAACCTTGTCGAGCCGTGAAAATAAATCAGCATTATTAATGAATCGTGTCTATTTGAACGCAAGTGAGAGAAGAAAAGGTTTCTCACCTATAAATCATAAACCAATGAGAGTTGATGTGTGCTATTCGGTAATTGAATTGTGTATTATTGGTGGATAATGCCCCAGCTAAAATCATCTCGAGGGAGTTTTTAATGCTAGAATTTAACCCTTGAGGCTTTATTGAACCCTCCAAGAGGAGTTATGAATACGAAAAGTAAAAAAAAAACCGCGAAGAAACCCTTATCTCTCGTATTTTTTGAACGTCGATGGTGTTTTCATTTTCTTTCTATTTTTTAGCCGATTCTTGACATTACCAAGACTGCGGATGGCGTGATGACCTTATCGTAGACCCAATCCCCTGCCCCCTTTGCGCGCTGCTCCTCCCTCTGCCGCTTCTCATCCGCGGTGACCCCTTCCCGGCGATGACGAAAAAGACTGGAAACCACCGACGGGGTTGGTTTCTTTTCCATTTCGTTTGTTTCGCCGTCCTTTGACTCGCCCGCTTCGTCGCCGTCCCTCCTCCCGCGCGGCGTGAGGTGGAGAATCACGCGATTGGTCCGCCCCCCCTCTCCTTCCGGGAGGGTTTCCTCCCAGGACCCGCGAAAGACCATCCGAGAAGGGCTTCCCGGGTTGAGAAAAACTAACGGATGGGCCACCCCCCGCTCCGGGGGCGACTCCTCGTCGAATTGAACCCCGCCGGGGTGAAAAATCGCCTCGGGGGAAGCCGGGCCCCCCTCGGAGGGGCGCTCGCACACGTGGACGTTCCGGAAGTAATCAAAGCAGGGAAATCGGAGCAAAATGTGCTCCACCGCCTCCACCGTCTCGATGGACTCAACGAGGGGGGGGAAGGAGGAAAAGGGGGCGGCCGCCTCGGGTTGGGGTTGCTTGGAAAGCGGCTTTCGACCCCGTTTGGCCGCCTTGGGCATTACGGGGGGTTGTTTGGTTGTTGGGGATGATATTGATGGATTATTGGGCAGGTTGCGCCGGCGGGCCTATGGGAACTTCGGCGGCTGCGGGTGTCTGTCGCCTTCCGTCGCGTTCGCGCTCGCGATGGAGATAAGGGTGTGGGTGTGTGGGATTACCCCTCGCTTCGACGGGAAATCGGGCCTTCACACTTACATTAAAAAGAAAATAAGAGACGGTCCACGTAAAGAATAGGTTACCATAAATTTTAAAATGCATGGGCACTTCCCGTTACGGTTGCCAATTAGGCAAAAACATATATCTGCGCATTATTTTTTCCATCCATTTTTACACCTGAGAAGTCCTTATTGTCACCAACCCATTTTCCATCCACCTGGCTGGTGATAACAGAAGGTGGAGTTTGAAAAAAAGGAAAGAATCAAAAAAAAATGGCAAGTCCTTTTGGGTTCCCCATTCAAGTAAAACGCGTCGGCTTCCACTCCCCAATTACAAACCAAAAAGCGCCTTTACATTTTCATGCAAAACACGCGTGAGTTCTTCCTTAGTGAACTCCTCGCAAGTTAAGGACGACTCCCCTTGGGATGAAAACTCCTTTTTCTGTATGGCATCCTTCCTCGCGCCGAGATACGCCTCGAGGATTTGGACGAGATGGCAGGGCTCATTTCGCCGCTCCACGCATTTCCCCAGCTCAAAAGGCGCCCTTCGCGCGGTCGTATCGAAGGTGGTGGAAAGAAACGAGGCGCCGTAATCGCCGCGGCGGAGATCGCACCAAGGGGCATCCGTTTCCAGCAAAAGCCTCTCGCGCGGGAGGTGCGAAACGAGCCGCCTTGCAAGTTTCTCCTCGCGAAACGCGCTGCCGTTGAGGCTGAGGTAAAAGCCCATTTTCAACCACGCCGCTTGCTCTTCGTGGGATCCGTTAAAGCTGTGCACGACCCCGCGGAGGGGAGGGCCGAAGGGGGACAGCGCATCCCTCGCCGCGTTTAACACCTCCACCAATCGCATCCCGCACTCGCGAGAATGAAAAATAAAGGGCAGTCCGAGCGGGGCGAAATGCCGAAGTTGCTCGATAAAATACCGTTCCTGGATTTCACGTGGGCAGCAGGACAGTTCGGCATAATCGAGCCCGATCTCACCAACACCGACGACCACATCACGATTGCGTTCAACTAAGTCAAAGAGGTACCGCAGGCGAGCCTGCGCGTTCGCTTCTTCGGTTTCGGAAATCGGATTCGGGTTCACCCCTGGCAGGATAACGGCGGCTTCATCGTCGACAAGCCGCCCAATCGCCGCTAAATCGAGAGGCCGGGTAAATTCCGCGGTGTGGGCGGGGTGGACACCCACCGTACAAAAAAGCACCCCGGGATATTGACGACATAGACGAATGGCCTTTTCGCACTGCGGAAGGCTGGTTCCCGTTATAATCATTTGATGGACACCTTTGGCAGCGGCACGCCGTAAAATATAATCAAAATCATCCTCGTGCAGTCGCTTGCCATTCCAACCCACCCCGCGGAAAACGCAGTCTGTCAGATTGACCGCGACATCCACAAGAAAAGGTGGAGTTGCCACTACAGAAGCTCGCATAAATGCTTGAAAAAAAAGGATTTAATGAAAATAAATGGGAAAAAAAAATGGAAAGTTATGAATTTTCATTTTTTTTTTTATATACTTAAACAATAACAAATCAAAGAAACAACGCACCTGCTATACTAAAAAAAAAAAATTGTTGATGTATTCAATTGGAAAACATGCCATCTAATTTGAAAGACAATGGCAATACCATCATGAATTTCTGTAAATACCGCAAATTGTTGAATATAGTAATAGGTGTAATAATAATAAATGTAAAGAGAACAAAACCAGACAGCATAGACGATATCATGAGTGTCTGCTTGTCCAATTTAGCCTTATGCGATTTAATGCAAGCAATATATGTCAATAGCAAAAGTAAAGAAAAAATGAAAGCAACACCCAAGACAAGAAACTCCAAGAGAATCCAAGTAATAATGGCAAGATATACACCACAACAGGAAAAGAAAAGGAAAGGAAGAAGGTAAATTACTTCCACCAATGGTCATTCTTCTTTTCGTTCTAGAAATTATTTCAAAATATCGGAAAGTAAAGCCATCTCGACGGTCCCCGAATCTGTTTTGACATTTTGCGTTGGAAGCTTCTTTTTTGCGGCCTCCGCCGTCGGATTCGCTTGTTTTTGTGCGTTATAGGCCACCAAGGCGGCCTTCTTTTCCTGCTCTTCCTTGAGTGTTTGTTTTTGAAGGCGTTTCTTTTTGGCGCTTTTGCCGAACAATCGCGTGGTTTTCCCCAATTCCACAATACTGCGATCGATGGCGCCGTAGAAGCTCGTCGGTTGGCTCCATCCGGTGGTGGGAAGATCCGTGGTGGGGTTTCGCTTTTGGTGGGCGATGAGCTCCTGCCAGATCGCGAGCATTCGCTCCTGCACCTCCGCGCTGATTTCATGCGGCCGCGCCTGCAGAACAAAACCAATCACAAACGAAGGGCAATCCCCAAAGTCGTCCAATAATTGGCCTTGAAGGAAAAACTTAAACTCTGTGGGCTTTTTGGCCGTCAAGAGGTTTGTGAGCAGCTCGAGCGCTTTCTTTCCAAGCTCCAAGAGCGGGCGATCCAGGTTAAATGGGCGCCACATCGTCATCGAAAACTCCGCATCGCGGACGAGGCTGCTGAGAAAAGTAGGCCAATCCTTCACAATCTTGGTCTTCGGCTTGCGGATCACATCCCCAAGGAATTCCATGCACGTGGAAAGGTATTTTTCGACAAATCGAATAAACATCTGCCGCGTGAGTCGCCGTATCCATTGATGGGGCAGCATACCCATGAATTCTTCGCGGATGTAATCGCAGACGGTGCTCATGATGATCTGGATGGGATTCTGCTTATCCCCATACCACTCACCCTCGCGAAACACCATGGCCCACTGCGCTCCTACCACCATCTCCACCTGTGCGGTGATCTCGTCGAGGTAATAAAACGCGCTCTCCGACAGGGTATCCTGGACTTTTAAAAAGGGCATCGGCCCGAGCCCTTTTTCCCGTTCGGTGCCTTTTGCTTGCTCCCCCGCCTCATCCATGTCGTAGTCCCAACAGGAGTAAAACTTCATCTCGATGGTATCCAAATTCCCCTCGATATTATGCGAGTCGTTGACATAGGCGTAAAGTAGGAGCATCCGGCGTTGTTGCCATTCCTCCGGCGTCTGTGGGGAGGCCGAGGCGTCGTTTTCGGCCTCCCAGAAGTAAAAATCACAACACCGACGGCATTCCTGCAGATAACAATAAATCCCCTCCGCGCAGGCGCTGCCGATCGTTCGCATCACCGACAGCTCGATCGATGCGGAGAGGCCGTCGAGTGTTTGCTGAAGAGCCGCAAAGATATCCATCGGCCCGGTCGTAATCGGCCTCCCAGAAGGCAATATCGTCGGGCCTTTCGGGGCTTTAAAGGTATTCCGCGCGCAGGCCCGGCAAAGCGAGGTCAAGTGCTCGGTTAGCCCGCCCACCGCGCGCGTCATCAGGGCGGCCGCCAGATCCTCGACGGAGCCGCGCTCGACATGGGGGCCATAATTCCCATAGCTGAGCATCTCCTTATACCACGCCATAAAATGCGAGGCCTCCATCAACGTGTTGGCGCTCGCGGCGGCGTGGGGCTGGACGTAGGCCCCAATCGCGTGGAGCACCTCCGAGTGAAGGGTGCGCACCACCACCGCGAAAAAAGGAATCGCGCTGGAAAGCGGAATCCACACCATCTCGAGCGCCTCTAAAAGGGGCTCGACTTTCCGCATTTGCTCGAGAAAGGCCATAGGCTGCTCAAAGGGATCAAGACCGCCAACGGCGATCTGCTCCTTCCATAGTGTCGTAATGTTCTTGGATATCGCGTCTAATATTTTATCCTTTGTAATTAACGAAACCCGCTCGACGCCATCACTGCCAAAATTAAGCACCGGATGCTGTACTTCTTGGCTGCAAACCTGCACACATTCTTTCAGAACGTTGAATTCCAAGCTACTACTAGGATGATTAATCGTCTTTCCGCCTTTTCCTTCGCTAAAACTAGTGTTTGTATCATACAAAGCCTTTTGAATAGTCGCCCCCATCGCGTCGTTTGTAAACACGGCGTAAATCTCCTGCACAAAAAGCTCAAGCACCGTATCGAGCTTTGAAAAATAAGGCTCAAAAATGCATTGAAAGGTATGATATTGCGCCCCAGCCTTTGTGATCACACTCCGTCGAATTCTTTGGAGCCTTTTCAAACGATCATACATCAAAACAAACTCTCGTTTTTGTACTAACCGATAAAGATTCCCATAATGAACTTCAGTAAGCGCAAGAGACCAATCTATAACTGATCCAACATTTTCGCGGAGCAAATGAAGCTGACGAAGGTGGGTGTAGCTTTTACTTTCGCACCCCATATCCTTAATAAGCTTTCCCTGGCGCAGAAAGAGCTCGCGGAGGTTTTGAAGTCGGTTTCCACCCTCCTCCACCATCTGTAGTGCGCGTTGTGATTCCACGATCTGTGAAGAAACGATGGCGTTAATGACCTGGCGAAGCTCCTTCGATTCGCTCGCGCAGCTGCGCAAAAGGCGGGGTACGGTAACGTCTAAACTCTCCAAGGAAACAAGCTCGTTGTTGAGGGTGTTAAAAACCTCCTGCTCTATGGCTTTCGTTTCTTGTTCCGTTAGGTAGGGTAAGATTTCATCCATCGTATACGTTTTGGTGTTCCGTGGTAAGGTGGAAGACTCATTGATGTCAAAACAAGTCGTTTCATCGCTATTTAGATTCATTGGTTCGTGTTGTTGTAGTTATTGTTGTTTACACAGTGTCTTTTGATGTTTCCCTAAGCTTTTTTGACATCAGAGCCTTCTATAATATTTGATGAAAACAGTTACCGTTGCTATCAACTGTAGAATTTCAACGGTGGTAGTATATCAGGATGATAACTACCTTTTGACAGAGAAGCAATAACTTGAGAAAAGGAAAGTGAAAACAACTTCAGTGATAACAATAACAAAAAAAAAAGGATGCCTCAGATAACATCAATTATTTAGACATCCATTTATGGTGAAAATAAAAGAGTACTTGTTTATATATAAAAAAAAAAGGAGTGATTTTTTTGAAGTTTGGAAACGTAACTTCATGGATGTCGCAAGTATTAATATGAATAGCAGAAAATCGATTTAGTTTAGTTGGGGTTCGATATATTGCTATCATAAATGAAATTTCAGTCTCTGTAGGTCTCTCTCAGTTCACAACACACATAAAAAGCAACGCCTGACATACCACATCACGATAAGGTCCTCACCTTTTTCCTATGAAAAAACATCAGTTTTTTTTTTAGAAACGAACTAACGCTTTGAATGTGAACTAGGATTTTTTGTCGAGTGCCTCTTTCCTCTTCAAAAACGCGTTTACAAGGGCGTCTGCTCTTTCGTCGAGAGTTTGCTCATGGGTGTCCGCATGCGCGGCGATCGCTTCGGGCAGAGTCGGCATCAACTCAAACTTCATCTTCGTTAAACGATTAGCCTCTTCGAGGTAATCCGGTATTAAATGCTCCATCCGTTCGTCCATCGTCTTCGACTCCTTAATCTCACGATCCAGCTGCTTAATCACGTCTGAGAGGAGGTACGAGGTGTGCACCCCCAGGCAGAGTTTCCCGCCGAAGTAGCCCCCGGCCATCGCGATCCATCCGCTGTACGAGCGCACCAACGGCATCCGCCGGCCAAGGCTAAGGCAGAGCGCCATCGTCGCCATCATGTTCGCGCCGAAGTAGCCGTAAAACCAATAGGTGCTGTTCGCGACGGCCCCGTAGCGCTCCATCACGCGCGCGACGCGCCCTCGGCTGCCCTCTAAAAAAACCCGCGCGGTGACCACCGCCTGCTGATATTGCTCCGCAGGAGTGAGGGGCCGCACACGGCGGGGGGGAGGGGCCGGCGCGCCAAGGTGGCTCGGCAGGGACATGGAAAGCGGCTGGGACTTGGATGAGGTGAACATTGCAACAGAGAAAACTGCAAGGGGGGGAGGGAGGGGTCTGAGATGACAAAGCCCTTCTGAGCCTTGGGATAAAGTAGAAGGGGAAAGGGGGGGTCCTGTAACTGTTACTGTAACTGTAACTGTTAGTGTTAGTGTTACTGTTAGTGGCTCTAATGGTGTTTGCTAGGGGACACACTATTGAATGGGCTGGAGTTGTTACAGGGAAAGGGTTTGGAGTGGGGGGTTACGTGAGAATAAGAGAGAAAAGGGGGAAATGGGGATAAGATAGGTAGCGTGAGAGCCTCGCACATTCAGAAAAGGAAGACTCCTGTAACAGTTTTAAGAAAAAATGGGTTCGTTGGTTGGTGCTGCGGTTGTCTGCATTCAAATTAATGCACCCCCTTCGTGTGAGGAGAGGCTTCCATATCCAACTATTGCAAAACTATATATATATATATATATTGTGCACAAGTATAGGTAAATTCTCTTTTGGTTTAGGCAGAGAGGTGTTTTTGTAGAATTCTGGGAAGAGGGGTGTAAGGAACCTGAGGGTGATCGGGCGTATAAAAGCCAAGGCCACGTAAATCACTGGCAAGGGCGCCTTGGCTAAAACCAGGCGATATATTACGCGCTACCACGTGATATTTATCAAAAAGCGCCTTATCGCGGCGGTAAAGAAAACGCCGCCGGGAAGGGTTCACGCGGTAAAACATCGCCGTCGGTCGATCACGAACAGGAGCCTGCACAACAGCGGAACGCGTTACCGCACGTAGTTCTTTACTACGAAGGGCCTGCAATAAAGGCACGTTTTGACGGTAAAGATCCTCCTCTCCGGCGGAAAGAGGGCTATGCTCGCCCTTTAAATAGTGATACGGGCGCGATGCGAGTGAGGTACGACTAATAAGAGTGAGCACTTTCACTAAAGGTAGCTCTCGCGCGAAAAAGGCCGCCAAGGTCCATAAAATTAAATCCTCATCGCAGTACGTTCGAGCGTCGTGCAAAAGGAGCTCCTCCGTGAAAGGGACTAAAATGGCACGGCCTTGCTCAAGCTCGTAGCCAATCGCTTCGAGTGCGCGTTTGTAGAAATTGTGCCGCTTTTCGCCCTCCGAATAGCGTAATTCCACTTCAAGTGCGCGCAAACAGGAAGTGGTGATCAGAAGAAGATCTTTCCCGCTCCGCCCGCGTTGATGAATTGTCGAAATAAGCGGGCTCACGGACTTTTCCACAATGCTAGAATGTAAAAGGAGGACGTTATCTATTGAGTTCACAAAAATTAAATCCGATAGCAGGGTTCGAATAGGGTGCACAAACTTACCTTGATATTGAGTAAGATACCTTGGAGAATACTCCAAGTCCGCCTTGCTCAGAAAAGGTTGAAGATCATGTAAATTTTCCACCACATCCGGAATGCGCTCACCTTCTTCGAGCTGAATTCGCTCCTTCACTATTTCCAAACCTGGGATGTTTTCTAATAACAAGTGATCAAGCCCCTCCGCCCGAGCCACGCGTACAGCCTCATCCTTATCAGGCAGTACCATCAAAAGCTCCATTCCGCTTTCCGCAAGAGAAAGCAGAAGCGCCTTATTCTGCGTTTTATGCGCAAACAAAAGGCTACGACGGAGCTCCACTACGGCGCGGCGGAGCACCTCGGCGCTTTTCTCGCGCGAGACGCTAGCGAAGAAATCCGGGCCGCGCACAGCATCGCTGTTAGTTTGCCCCAATGATGGATGAAGACGCAAAGAAATCGCCGGAAAGGCACATCGTCCTAAGCTTTTCATCAACTTTTCCTCCTCGTTTTCGCCGCCGCCTTCGAGAAGGGCACATAAAATCCCATTGCACTTGATGTTCATCAAATTCAGGATTAAGTATAAGCGCTCTAAATTCCTCACCTCGTCGAGGCTTCGGACCTCGTTATGCTGATTTTCCCACCTCTTGATAAGGTTCTGCAAAATCGCGTTGACGACTTTTCCCTCCGGACGACCATCTGGCATCACCGCGGCGAGCCCGCCAAGCAAATCTAAGAGCTGTTCGAATGAAAACCGATCTAAAAAGGAGCTTCCCCGATCATTATTCGGAAGTTGAGGCTCGTCAACCATAAGAAGAAGGCTCATCATGTAATCGAACAAATCCTCCCCGGTCCGTTGGTGGGAGACCGAGCGGTTTACACCCCTTGGATGGGAGTAATCCGCCCTGTTTTGGATCATCGTCGGGTTCGGCGAGAACCACAAATTCGGCTCAAAAACTTTCACCAGCGCGAGGAAATGAAGGAGTTGGAGAAAAAGCGGGGGGGACTGGCAAAGCCGCTCGGGCTGCTCCAGCGTAAACGTCTCCGTGGCGGCCTCCAGAAGCCCCCAAAAAGCTTGCAAGAGGCTGCTCGAGACGAAATACGGGCGGCCATACTTCACCACCTTAATCATCGGGAATTGCAACCCCCGCCCGTGAGGGGTGAAAAGGCCGCCGAGTTCGTAAAACATCCGCGTGAGGTCCGCGTTGGAGCGGCGGGGGAGGCTGGAGGCGAAATCCCAAACCGTCGCCGTCCGCGCCTCCCGCTGGGGGCGATTCGCGAACTGCGCGAGAAGATCCCCGACGGACCGCCGGCATTCGAGGCGATCCACCGCGGGAAAGCGCGGGGCGACTTCGTAGCCCTGAAGATCCAATCCCGCGTCCGGGGCGGATGGGATCGGGCGGCGGGGGGCCGCCAGGCCGTCGTCGAAAAGATCCGCGGGCTGCAAAAACCCCTCCTCAACGGGGGGTGCCACCTCGACCAACGTCCGCGGGGGGTTGGGGCGGGGGGCCGGGGGTTGCCGCATGCGCTCCCGGGTCTTTTCAATGTCGGGGATGTTAGTCAGTCGGACCGGCCCAAAACCCAACGCGGTGTCGTACTTGGGGAGCGGAAAGGGGGTGAAATCCAAGGAAACCGCCTTGGGTTTCATCGTTTCCGTCAAGGGCGTAAATCGAACCGGAGGGGCAGAATCCTTGGCATCGTTGGTAGGCGATTCGTTGGGTGGATTTTCCTTGTCGAACCGCATCCAAAGCGCCCGCGTGGTGCGGAAAAGGCGTCTCATTTTATATGAGAGTGCTTATATATATATATATATACATGTTAAGGAACGATAGAGAAAATGAAGAAGAGAAATTCAATCGTACACCGCTCCACAAATTTGAGTAGAGGAATAAATAATTACCTACATAGTGTCACCTCGTCCTTCAACAGTACCGTCTTTCTGGTAATTCCATACTTATTTATGCGAGACAAGAAAAATGATATAGGAGCATGTCCACAGCGACCTATATTCGCAAAATTCGATTTAAACAGGAAAAACATTTTTGGATAACATAGCACTTAAAATAGTGTCGAAACTGATATATTTTGATCAATTATATACTTTTTTTTTGGGACTATATGCAAACATATATATAGGGAAAAAAAGTAGTATTAGCTCAATATAATAAAAATAGCTGTGTATGCTACCCCAATATATAGACAAAATCGGAAAAGCATAAAAAGAGAATACGTGTATTAAAATTAACCGGTAAAAAAATGAATCCGTATCACGCAAGCAACCAGTATGATTCTTTTGATAACCCTGAAGGAGATACGCCTTCTCTTTTTAGGGAATACAAAAGAAGTAGTACATAATCACACACAACAACAAGAACAATAAAATTTTCTTTGGTGAAAGGGAACGAGACGCTACTTGATTATTAGTCGAATCGGTTTTATGGCCCATATCCGTCACCTGTTTGAAAACCCTTCGAAAGAAGGAAAAGCGCGATTTTTTCGCTCCCGTATTCTCCAAATCTTCAGCTATTCCATAGTCCCTGTCGTCTAGATCGACGAAATCAACATCGGCTCGGGACCTCGCCGCCTTACCCAAATGGAGTTTATCGATCACATATTGAATATCATCCCCTGGGTCCATGTCTCTTACTATTGCCCTATTACCCCGTTTTACGATGCGATTAGGGCAATAAGACGATCCCGCTTGATTCACACTCCCCTGTGGTCTGTCCGTCTGATGTTGTTTAATTTTTTCCGTCAGGTAAGTCCGATACCGCTCCCGCCCCACCATCGTGTGGAATTCCTTTTCATAGAGAAAATGCATCTCGAGAAGAAACTCCAGGTCTCGAACGTCCTCGAGGTAATCCATCACGCGGTGGAGCTTCGTGATGCTTCGGTAGTACAAACACCCCAGAAGCCCCACCTCCGCTTCCATTTTGACTTCGTTGGGCCTTCGGGGGCCATCGGGCGCGCGCAGCGCCTGAAGCCGCGCGCGCTTGTGGAGGTACAACTCCCCCAGGCTGGACACGAAGAAGAGCAGCTCCTCGTTCATCTCCGTCCGGACGAGGAGGGTGTGGTGGATGAGAAATCGCGCCTGCGTGAGCAGCAGCCCGTCCACGACGAGGAAGAGCATGAAGACCAGCCCCAGCGTCAGGCGGGGGTTCGCCAGGCCGCGGTGGAGGGCCCGGAGCCCCTCCCGCCCCCGCGCCACCCCCGCGCAAACTCGGGGAAGGAAGGCGGGCAGGAGCCCCGGAAAGGGCCCCGCGGCGGCCTTTTTCAGCCCCAGCCCGAGCGATTTCCCCCCGGCGGAAGGAAGGGGAGGGG